TACAATTGATAAATTCTCTCTTTCTTCTTGAAGTTCTTCCAGTGTTGCTTAGTGTAATTTGGAGCCATATTTAAAGATTCATATGAGTTTACAATGGTTATAATCTTCTTGTTCAATTACTGCTTTTACTAGTACATAATTTCTTTTCTGTCTTTTATGACTTTCTGTCTTACATTCTCTTCAGTCAGATATTAAGCAAGGGTTCCGCATTTCTTTTGGTTCATATTGCCGTAGCATAATTTACCCATCCATTTCCAGTGTTGCATTTTCTTTATGTCTTATTTTTGTCTCGATGGTTACACACTGTGGAGCTTTATTTTTTAATCCAATATGAAATTGATTTTCATTAGTGACCACGACTGCCTTATTATGCTTAATGTTATGTGAAGACTGTTTCAGACAACTTAAGACTCATACTCCTGTTTACTTATCCATCTTGCTTTCCTAATTATTCAAATCTCTATCTTATCCCCAAAAGAGAAAAGCTTTAGCCTGGTTGCTTGTCAGGATTACCAAGAATCTTAATGTGGAGTATTTATATGTCCATCTTGGAATGTGTCCTCTTTGAGGTCTTTTATTTTCCTTTAATGCTGGAAAACTAAACAAATATTTCTTCATATATTTCACCTTCCCCATTTATATTTTTTGGTCTCCTCTGGGCTTCCTATTGTCCACCTATTGGCACTTGTACCTCTCTGTCTCTCTTTTCCATTTCCATGTCTCTATTTTTTCCTGCATCTTGTGGGGAAGATTTCTAATCAGATCTCCTAACTCATTAATTCATTTTTAAACTGTGTGCATCTTACTAATTAACTGTTATTCATGTTAGTTATTGCATATGGAACTATTTATTCCAACTATTGCATTTTTCATAACCACTATTGCCACTGGGTTGTTTCATATTATTTCTTGTTCTTTCTGTATTGCTAAAATCTTTATTTATGTCCTTCTGCATACATCTTCAAGCTTACTTGGAATTCTTCCTCAGCATTTCCTAATCACTCTGGGAGACTGTGTACACTGTTTAGGTTGTTGGCTCTCCTTTGCAATAGTTGAGATGTCTAATTATCTTGGGCTAGGAGCTCTTGTTCCTGAAGTGATTGGCAGCTACTGTCTCCTGGGGAATGGCCAAAGGCCAGGCCTTGGCTTTGTGGATCCTGGTGAACTTAAGGAGAATGGAGGGCGTCAGTCCCAGGGTGAAGACCTAGTCACCATATATCTTAGATCTCGTACTGCTCTACCAGGAGAACTTAAACTCAGCCGTTTGCTCACAAAGTGAAAGCACTGGGATGAAGCAACACCCCACGTATAACCCAACAGACTTGTGGGACTGGAGAAGAAGGAAGGGGAGGAATGAATACCCAAGGTGGCTATTTAATGCATCCTTATTTATTTTCATGAAGTCCTTAGTCCCTTAGGGCTTCTGTGCTGCCCTAAGAGTAGCCTGGGGACCCTGGGTTCGGTAGCAAGGCCTGTTGTTACAGGTGTGGTCCCAAAGCAGTGAAGCAGGGGGAGATCAGAACACAATAAACCCTTCCCCCATCCTAGTCTTTAGCTCTTCACTAGACCCCATCCACCCTTCCTCAGAATAAGGACCCTGGTTCAAGAAGCCTGAAGTTTCTCGTTTCTATTTCTTTTGTCATTTTCCTTTTTGTCATTAAATACTAATTCCTGATGCCTGTGTCCCCTGTTTCTATACCTTCTCCAGGGTTGATATCTGGAGAGGAAGCCAGCAGTCCTAACCACTTTGCCATCTTGGCTGGCCCTGCAGTTCCTCTGTGCCTCTTCTTCACTGCCTCTTCTTGGCCTGGGCACTTGGTTACATGGATGAGGGAGTGTTCATGGTCTTTCCAATCTTATCTATTCAGCCCTCTGTTCTTGAAAACCACTAAGTGGAAAGCTTACTAGCAACAGTGCTAAAACAGCCCTAGCTGCTCTCACTCTGCTCTTCAGAAGGCCTCAACTTCAGAGTGCCACAAACACTGAGACCATGGGAGTTTCTCCAGACATGTTTTATCTCCTAAATATCTGTGCAAAGACCACATTTAAGGGAAAAAGCTTCAAGCCAGCTGTGTGAAAAAATTTCTGCCTAGAGACACAAATCAGCACTAGAGAAAGAAACCCTTCAAACTATAGAAAGGTGAATTTTACAAAGACCACTCCTATTTGAAGAAATCTAGGGACCATGAATTAAGTTAATTTTGTACCAAAAAGATACATGTTGCAAACAATCCCTGTGCTCTCAACCAACAGGAGAAAACTATCTGGCATCCTGTAGAGTTGAAGGGGAACAGTCTTGCTTTGAGAGGCTGGGTGGTGTAGGGCAACCGAGTGGGCAATTTAAAAGACAGAGGCATTGGGCACTCTTCATTCAAATCCTAGCTCAGCCACTTACTGTGTCACTGTGGTGGACACATTATTCAATTTCTCTTCTCCTTAGTTTGCTCATCACTTATGGGGATGAAAGCAGGCTTACTTGTTATAAAGAGTAGTTAAGCTAATATCTATTAAGTCTATCTATATTGACTACAGTGTCTCAATGATTGGTATTCCTTTTTCTTTTTCTTCTTAAATCACTCTATTTAAGAGATGTTTGCCATAACTTTCAGCCCCACAATATCCCTTTGCTGATGACAGTATATGCAAGGGTGTGGGGTTAGAAGTGCTTGCTCTTCTGAGAACAACCTTCTATCCTGCTGTGCAAAGATTTCAAGAGTTTACAGCTGGGTGGATGTTTAGGTTGTAGGACTCATGACCAGTGTGACAAACCAGTATGTTAGCTAGTTTTCATCAGCCAGTCTGGCAGGGATGGAGACACATTTCTTCATCTATTCTAACTTTTTTTTCAAGAAAACATCCAACTGGTTTCACTGAATTTCTATTCAGCACTTCCCTTACTACTCTGAGATTTTATTTGGAGGCAATTTCTCCAAATTAAAATAAGATAATTAATCTCTAAAGTAAAGGAGGGTGCAGTGACATGCCGTGGCATTGCTGGTCAATCAGCACAGAGTGAGGGCACAGTTTGAGTCTCATGACAGGGTTTCTGGAAAATGGACACTGATCAGTGATCTAAGACACTGTCTAGCCAACACTTAAGGTAATGGAATATCTTGCAAATCTTTCAGAGATGCTTGTTATTCCAAGTGGAAGAAATTTGATACTAGAAATTCTTCCCTACCCAAGGTAATTAACAGTTGCAATGGCTGTGTTTTCTCTCCTTCAGGACTTCATATTATTCACAGATATTAAACAGATGTTAATTCTATGTCCAGAAGAAAAAAATCACCAGGAAGGTACTTAGTTCTTTTTCAAATGGGGTTGTTTTACCTTCCTTTACTCTGACATGCACTTATTATCATCCTTTCCTTCATGTTTCCACTTACCGTTTCCCCTACCCCTGCATCCCACAGGTTATCCATGGATTAGGCTCAGTGAAATCAATTTGATGTAAACAATCTAGGAGTGAGGCATCTTGTCTCTATCTCACAATCACAAATGGAGTTTCCTTCTGTGTTTACCTGATTGCTTTTTCTACATTTGGCTTCTGATCTCCCTTCTTTATGAATAGTCTTATTCTAAATGCTAAAGAGTCAATTCCTATGTTAGAGAGTTGAATTGGAATCTAGCCACAGGACAAATCACTATGTTAGACCTTGTTAAGAAAATGGGTCCTTGCTAAGCCTTTATACAGAGATCTAGTTTTGAGAATGTTTCTTGTAACTTGAGTTGTCCTACCCAGCACTAGTGGGGAGGAAAGATCACACTCAGCTACCACCTCCAACCATGTGTCATTTTGTTCTTCCAGTCCAAAGATATCAGTGTTTGTGGTTTTAGGGTAATGGTTCACTTAGTAGGTTTTGATTTTTACCATTGATACAGGAAAGAAGCAGTCACCACTGCATAAAGTAACTTTGTCATGGTAGCTACTATTACGTATTTGTTATATAGCTGAATGAAAGGTGTATGAAATGTCTGTTGAATCAATCCTAGTGAATGAAGGAAGGAATGAAGAGTGGAGATCCATGATGACAGCACTTCTGTCACTTCTTTTCTGTTATCTTTCCCTCCTTCAGGAATCATCAGACCCATGTGCACCCAGAAGCTTATTTTGGATCACTTTCTAGTAGGGATCAATGCAGGTGGGTGGCTGAGTTCAAGTTCTTCTGAGTTCAAGTTACCCAGATTTTGTGGTGTGATGGGAAATTACTTTTGCTTTTTCAAGATCACAGGATCATTTTATCTATTTGTATTACCCACTGGAACACAAGGTAAAGATGTAGCCCTTATATATCCTTTCTGAACAAGTTCTCCAGATCTCATGAGGCTACTAATTTTGGATGCTATGACATAGTGTGAAGAACCTACAAATTGTTCTTGTTCCCCATTATTAGTCCATCACAGTTCTCATTTAATCCTCATTTTTTCCATTTCAAGCTTTCCAGATCTGAAAATCTTCCCAATAGTGGCTTTTCTGCATTCTAATGATATTTAATTAGTTCTGTTTTTTCCAACCTTAGTTTCTCTCCCAAACTATATTAAAAATCAGTGATTGTAACAATTCTAATGATCTGATGTTGGACAGTTCAAGTCTGGTCCCAGAAAAATTGGGGGAAAAAGCCAGGAGCAATGAAATGATGTGTTGTTTTCTTGCCCTAGGTTTATTTGCTGTGTTTCCCCAGATTATCAAGGGCATGAGAACTGTGTTTTGGAGTTTATAGTTAAGTAGAGATTGAAGATGATTACACTGACAGATATAATCACCTTGATGTTTTTGCGCAGAATTTTCTGTCCTATTCTTTTGGATTATCTTTCCCTCTTCTACAGTGCAAACAAGATGGGATATTAGCAGCCTGCGCTGAAGAGAAAGAGAATGTGGAATGAGCAGGAGACGAGATGAATGAATGAAAAGATGGAGAATGTATTTCTTTTGAAAAATATGTAAAATACACCTTTTTGCTTATAATATACTCTGTATTAATTTAAACATATACATAGCGTAAGCATTTCACATAATTTTGGCACTATGTATAATTCTACAGAAAGCTGTTTCATTTTCTTCAGCCCCTACTATATTATCACAATAGTATCTAGAATATTTCAGCAATATATTATCACATTTGTACTAGAGCTGCCAGAAATACTCTGTTTTCCATGTTTGTAAACAAAAATAGGAACACTACTACATAAACACTGTGATTGGAAAAATACTTTCTTTTCAACAACTCCCTTACTTTCTGTAAAGGAGACTTAAGCTACTTTTGTATCCAAAATTCATTTTCACTGAAGGAACATAATTTTTTTGGGGGTGCACTAAATATGTAACTAGAAACAAATCAATTTTTTGTTTTTCCCACAACCACATCACTTCTGAAAGGCAGTGGCATATAGATGAGATTTGGAGATTTGGAGGGTTTCAGTCTATCTCCTCATTTAGCATACAAATTAAATAACCATAACTCTGATTACCATTACAAATTTGAAAATTAATTCCAGGTGCCAGTGATGATAATGGATTCAGGGATTTTTGAAGATTTTATACTGAGAAAGTAAAGAGAGATGTGGAAATATAATATTGGGTTTTAATGAGAAACTCTACTTTTACTTTAAATGCATTAGTGTATGGTTAAACTTGTAGCAGTTAAGTTTTTCCCCCTCCTGTTTTCCTAATAGCACACAAGAGGTGAATTGCAAACTGATTCCTAAATTAGACTTACTATATCTTCCTGGAAAAGACTGAGATTTTGTTAAGCTTTGAAGCTGGGTGGAAGGCAGTTAATGTACTTATATGGAGTCTTTTAATGACCAGTCTTAAGCAAATTTATCTTTTACTGTTAGATAGCACCCAAGGGCAAGAGGTAATCTGCTTTATAAACCTCGGAGTGATTTGCTTTATAAATCCTAGAGTTTAGGAAAGTGGGGGACATATATTTTTGGCAGTTTTGTGAAAAAGTTAATGATGGATTCTTTGTGACCTCCCAACTGGTAAATGCCAGTGACCAAAGCTTATTCAACAAGAAGGCCAGTTCTTCACAGCAGTAAGGACCTGCCCTATTTGGCGGGATTACCACAATCACACTGAGCATAGGATACTAACAAACCAATTACAAAATCAGCCCATCTAATGCTTCCAGCAAATTGACTCTATAAATTTCTTTTTCATTCAAAGCATTAGATCTTCCTGCCTAACACAGGCCTTCTCCCCACACACTCAGTCATCTCTATATTAGAAAGCCACTTTGTCTGGCAGAGGCCATGTAATTTGTGCAGTTTACATTGTGTGGATGGTTAAACATCTGAATAACATCAGAATTGATTGAAATTAAAAAAAATTAAAAATTGGACTCATAGCCAAATACAGAAATATTCTAATTCAAAGTCTTGAGTTAAAAAGAAAAATATTGACAGTGATTTTAATTTTCCAAAGGTATAAATGGCTCAAGATTAACAAGGAGCACCCTGTTTCTGAACTAGGTCAATTTAGTTGCGTTTTTCTTAGATACTTTGCTTGCATAACCAAGACATCTGCAACTCAGTCCTGGATGAAAGATGGAGTTCACAAGTGTTGCAGAGGGAGACTCAATTCCTAGACTGTCTCCCACAGCAATAGTACCAAGAATAACTTTCTTCAGAATCACTATGGACAAATTCACTTAATAATTCGTCACAGATGATATGTTCGGCTCCTGGGAGGATGGGAATCACTTTAGACGCATGGTCGGTCTGTCTCCCAGGGGGTGAGGGCTCAGTGATCATGGTGCTGAATGTGCTTCACAGTCAAGCGCAGGACTCTTGCTCTATGATCTCCAAAGCGATGACCTCTGCGCCCTCATCGTCCAGATTGTTGGCGGCTTCGTTCCTCGGCTCCTGGTGGCAGATGTAAACAGGGATGTCGCCGGCCTCAGCTACTACAGCGATGGCAACAGAGCGGCTGTTGCTATTGCTCCTCCCCCAACGCTGGTTCCACTGGGTTTTAAACTGGGCCCACTGGCGCTTCACGGTGGTCTGGACCTGGAAGAGGAAAGGGAGCCTTGTTTTCATACGATTGTCAGAAATGACCTGAACCAGGTTTAGGGGCACAATTCTTGAGCTTTCCAGAGGGTAAGGGAGGCTGAATTGTCATTCTGGTCTAAAGGCCTGTGTGGTAAACACTGGCTGTGGAATATACCATATTGGGAGAAGAATTTGCAAACTGGAAAACAGAATTACTTGCCTAAGCTGCCCTCAGAATTATTACATTGAGCATAGGTTTCTTGTTAGTTCTTGTGTCCAGTGAAAGCAGTTTATCTGGTTTTACACTCAATATGACATACTGTCCTATGAGGGAGAAAGATTGCAAAACCTTTTAATCTGCTACCACCTCTCTAAGGCAGAAGATTTTATCTAAATCTACACATTATTGATCATGAAAATATATATGTAGAGGATCACGGGAAGATGGTGGTGTGAGTAGTTCAGAGGAAATCTCCTCCTCAAAACATATATATTTATGAAAATACAATAAATACAACTATTCCTAAAAGAGACACCAGTGGATGCAGTACAACAGCCAGGATACATCTACATCTGTGAGAACTCAACATCACACAAAGGGGGTAAGATACAAGCCGCGGCCAGGCGGGACCTGAATGCTCCCCCACCCCAAAACCCAGCAGGAAGAAAGGAGTCAGAACAGGGAGGGAGTGAAAGCCCAGGACTGCTAAACAACCAGCTCTAGAAATCCGCACCCGGAATGCAGACACAATGGTGCATGGAGTGCTGGATATCAGAGAAACGGAAAAGCAAGACCTGTGGGCAGGTCCCCACAACCAGTGCCCCTGAGACAAAAGAAAAGCGAGTGCTTTCTGCAAGTCTTAAAGAGACAGGGACCCCATAGCTGGACAAAGTTGTCCCGGCAGCTGGGAATACCGGGGAAACTTAGGCGCCCTAAACCCTGGGGAGGCAGTGCAGCTCTGAAGCCCCTCATGGCACTAAGCAGCCTGCCAGTTGTTCCTCCAACTGGTGCGCACCCCGACACACTGACCCAGTAGCGGGAGAGTGGCAGTGCGTGCCGGGGACGGCAGGGCCAGAAGGGACCGAGAGCAGATTCGTGCACCACAGGAGAGGCTTGTGCTAGCCTGCAGCGGCGTGACCAAAAAGCCCCAGTGCAGCTTGCGTGCACCAGCGGCAGTGAAGCCAGAGGAGCCCAGTAGAAGCCTGCACGGAAGAGCCCCGTGCGCACCTGCAGCAGAGTCAGAGGGAGCAGGTGCGCTCCCAGCAGCCAACCAGAATCCCAGTCCAATGCACAGCCACCCAGGCCAGACTCAAAGGCCACTTCTGTCACACAGCTGCCTGGCAGGGCCATCGCTAGCAATGAGGAGCGCACCTGGCGTGCCTGCCACTCCCTGCAGGGCTCCGCACTTCTCTGACAGACACCCCGCCCACAGCAGCTTAGGGGACTAACCCGGTGGCTGCTCCAGGAGTGCGGGTAACCGTCACAGGCAGCAGAGAAGGGCAAGGCATCCAGCAAGCAGGAAAGGACTTTCTTCTCCCAGCTGACACAACTGTAACCTGCCTACAGCCGCCGCTATCACCATGAAAAGGCAAAAAAATCTGGTCCAGTCCAAGATAGTTACACCTGAGAAAAGATCTGCAGAGGCAGACCTAACCAGTCTCCCTGAAAAAGAATTCAAAATAAAAATCGTAAACATGCTGACAGAGCTGCAGAGAAATATGCAAGAGCTAAGGGATGAAGTCCGGAGGGAGATTACAGAAGTGAAACAAACTCTGGAAGGATTTATAAGCAGAATGGATAAGATGCAAGATACCATTGATGGAATAGAAACCAGAGATCAGGAATGCATAGAAGCTGATGCAGAGAGAGATAAAAGAATCTCCAGGAATGAAACAATATTAAGAGAACTGTGTGACCAATCCAAAAGGAACAATATCTGCATTACAGGGGTACCAGAAGAAGAAGAGAGAGAAAAAGGGATAGAAAGTGTCTTTGAAGAAATAATTGCTGAAAACTTCCCCAAACTGGGGGAGGAAATAATCGAACAGACCATGGAATTATACAGAACCCCCAACAGAAAGGATCCAAGGAGGACAACACCAAGACACATAATAATTAAAATGGCAAGGATCAAGGACAAGGAAAGAGTTTTAAAGGCAGCTAGAGAGAAAAAGGTCACCTATAAAGGAAAACCAATCAGGCTAACATCAGACTTCTCAACAGAAACCCTACAGGCCAGAAGAGAATGGCATGATATACTTAATGCAATGAAACAGAAGGGCCTTGAACCAAGGATACTGTATCCAGCACGACTATCATTTAAATATGATGGTGGGATCAAACAATTCCCAGACAAGCAAAAGCTGAGGGAATTTGCTTCCCACAAACCACCTCTACAGGGCATCCTACAGGGACTGCTCTAGATGGGAGCACCCCTAAAAAGAGCACAGAACAAAACACACAACATATGAAGAATGGAGGAGGAGGAATAAGAAGGGAGAGAAGAAAAGACTCTCCAGACAGTGTATATAACAGCTCAATAAGCGAGCTAAGTTAGGCAGTAAGATACTAAAGAAGCTAACCTTGAACCTTTGGTAACCACGAATCTAAAGCCTGCAATGGCAATAAGTACATATCTTTCAATAGTCACCCTAAATGTAAATGGACTTAATGCACCAATCAAAAGACATAGAGTAATAGAATGGATAAAAAAGCAAGACCCATCTATATGCTGCTTACAAGAAACTCACCTTAAACCCAAAGATAAGCATAGACTAAAAGTCAAGGGATGGAAAAACATATTTCAGGCAAACAACAGTGAGAAGAAAGCAGGGGTTGCAGTACTAATATCAGACAAAATAGACTTCAAAACAAAGAAAGTAACAAGAGATAAAGAAGGCCACTACATAATGATAAAGGGCTCAGTCCAACAAGAGGATATAACCATTCTAAATATATATGCACCCAATACAGGAGCACCAGCATATGTGAAGCAAATACTAACAGAACTAAAGAGGGAAATAGACTGCAATGCATTCATTGTAGGAGACTTCAACACACCACTCACCCCAAAGGATAGATCCACCGGGCAGAAAATAAGTAAAGACACACAGGCACTGAACAACACACTAGAACAGATGGACCTAATAGACATCTATAGAACTTTACATCCAAAAGCAACAGGATATACATTCTTCTCAAGTGCACATGGAACATTCTCCAGAATAGACCACATACTAGCTCACAAAAAGAGCCTCAGTAAATTCCACAATATTGAAATTCTACCAACCAATTTTTCAGACCACAAAGGTATGAAAGTAGAAATAAATTCTACAAAGAAAACAAAAAGGCTCACAAACACATGGAGGCTTAACAACATGCTACTAAATAATCAATGGATCAATGAACAAATCAAAATAGAGATCAAGGAATATATAGAAACAAATGACAACAACAACACTAAGCCCCAACTTCTGTGGGATGCAGCGAAAGCAGTCTTAAGAGGAAAGTATATAGCAATCCAGGCACACTTGAAGAAGGAAGAACAATCCCAAATGAATAGTCTAACATCACAATTATTAAAACTGGAAAAAGAAGAACAAATGAGGCCTAAAGTCAGCAGAAGGAGGGACATAATAAAGATCAGAGAAGAAATAAACAAAATTGAGAAGAATAAAACAATAGCAAAAATCAACGAAACCAAGAGCTGGTTCTTTGAGAAAATAAACAAAATAGATAAGCCTCTAGCCCAACTTATTAAGAGAAAAAGAGAGTCAACACAAATCAACATAATCAGAAATGAGAATGGAAAAATCACGACAGACTCCACAGAAATACAAAGAATTATTAAAGACTACTATGAAAACCTATATGCCAACAAGCTGGAAAACCTAGAAGAAATGGACAACTTCCTAGAAAAATACAACCTCCCAAGACTGACCAAGGAAGAAACACAAAAGTTAAACAAACCAATTACAAGCAAAGAAATTGAAACAGTAATCAAAAAACTACCCAAGAACAAAACCCCGGGGCCGGACGGATTTACCTCGGAATTTTATCAGACACACAGAGAAGACATAATACCCATTCTCCTTAAAGTGTTCCACAAAATAGAAGAAGAGGGAATACTCCCAAACTCATTCTATGAAGCCAACATCACCCTAATACCAAAACCAGGCAAAGACCCCACCAAAAAAGAAAATTACAGACCAATATCCCTGATGAATGTAGATGCAAAAATACTCAATAAAATATTAGCAAACAGAATTCAACAGTATATCAAAAGGATCATACACCATGACCAAGTGGGGTTCATCCCAGGGATGCAAGGATGGTACAACATTCGAAAATCCATCAACATCATCCACCACATCAACAAAAAGAAAGACAAAAACCACATGATCATCTCCATAGATGCTGAAAAAGCATTTGACAAAATTCAACATCCATTCATGATAAAAACTCTCAGCAAAATGGGAATAGAGGGCAAGTACCTCAACATAATAAAGGCCATATATGATAAACCCACAGCCAGCATTATACTGAACAGCGAGAAGCTGAAAGCATTTCCACTGAGATCGGGAACCAGACAGGGATGCCCACTCTCCCCACTGTTATTTAACATAGTACTGGAGGTCCTAGCCACGGCAATCAGACAAAACAAAGAAATACAAGGAATCCAGATTGGTAAAGAAGAAGTTAAACTGTCACTATTTGCAGATGATATGATACTGTACATAAAAAACCCTAAAGACTCCACTCCAAAACTACTAGAACTGATATCGGAATACAGCAAAGTTGCAGGATACAAAATTAACACACAGAAATCTGTAGCTTTCCTATACACTAACAATGAATCAATAGAAAGAGAAATCAGGAAAACAATTCCATTCACCATTGCATCAAAAAGAATAAAATACCTAGGAATAAACCTAACCAAAGAAGTGAAAGACTTATACTCTGAAAACTACAAGTCACTCTTAAGAGAAATTAAAGGGGACACTAATAAATGGAAACT